TCGATTAAAGTGGCATTCTACTTGCTTCTCTAAATTTTTAAAGAGGCAATATATCATGAATGTGTCCAACCAAAGATGGGCATACTTGAAGAGAGAACTAATTAGACTAATCTTTTTGCCAGAAGGTTTACCTGTAATGGTTATAATCTATGGACTGTAATATGATTCAGAAAACACTTAGTGGCAATCCATCTTCTGCTATGCCTTAAGGTAGTGCCGTGGATGTCTGCGGGGATGCGTGTACCCAAATTTGTAATTTCTCAATTTGCACAGCATCGTTGCGGAACAATGTTTGGAAAAATCCTCAAAAACGGCGCCTTTATTGATGAGAACAGAGAAATTTTAAATTCTACTTATTTCATCTTAATAATGCTCTTTAAACGGATTCATGGTGTTTTTCGAATACAGATGGCTGTGGTCAGTGTTGCGGTTATTGGTTCAGGACCTTGATGGCTCTTACTAATGAGTCTGTTTGGCTGAAGCATCTGTCTGGATATCTAATGTCGCTCGCCATGTGGAAAATGTCATCCACCGTCTGGCCTCTTGCAACAAGTCAAGTCTCTACTGGCAGAGTCGACATTGTAATTAGTCCACGATCAAAGCATCCTGAGGGGTTCAGCGTGGTTTGTGCTGAGCACGACCTCTTGAAAGTACTTTTAAAAAATAGAATAGATGTTTTCCTTAATCCCAAGAACAGAACATGCATGCCTATGGATCATGTTGATTTAATATTAATGGGCGGCAGAGTTAAAGGAGGAGGTTTTTGAGTGCATCAAGGCATAATGTCACATCAGCTCGGTGGTCATTCATGTTTTAATGGAGTTTTCAAGTCATTTTTAATCATTTTATAGGGTATTATGTAAAAATGAGCCCTAATATGAACAGTTGTGGTAGAGAAATAACCATTCTTCTGTTTCTTGCTTGGAGTGAGACCATGAAACTTGAAATTGCTACAGTTTGAGACTTTCCTGGTCCACATACAGACTTCAAACTGTTACAGTCAAGGGCTCTTCAGGTGCCTTTTCACTCTATGGAAATCAGAAAAACCATGGGCAAATACAGGCAAATCGGCATAAAAGCTAATGAAGCACCCACGTACCCGCTGTTGCGAGGTAATGAGTGTACTTAGCTCTAAGGGAAAGGACATCTCCAAAGGATTTTCAGTGTGTGCCCACTTCCCCAAGTGCTTAATCATGGTGCTTGATTATGAGCAGCCATTAGAAGCCTGTGAGTCAGCCCCACTCATACACTGCAAGGAATTATGGTGTGCTTGATTGAATTCAACATTCTGTGCCCCTGGTCTATGACAGCTTGCCAGAAGATAGCAAAGAGCTTACCCTTTATTGGTGCATCACTTGAAGCAAACAAACAGGCTTTTCTCTGGGACAACTTTTTACTAGGTGTGCCGCACACTGTAGCTCATGTCGCACATTTAGCCTACTGCAGAGTCTCCACAGGTAGACGTTGAGTCGGATTTCATGCATCCAAACTCATACTGACCTTAGGAAAGGAAATAAAGGAACGTCATGAGGTTTGTAGATGTATGGCAATCTTACTGGTGCAAACCAAAAACCACAAATCATCATGATGTGAACTATTGGGTTTCTTTTCAAGCTGATTTTTAGCTGTTATGAGTTTGCTTTTTTTTCATGTAACTGTATCCCTCATACTGTATGTATACATGTCTGTATGTACCCTGTCTCCTTGATAACTGGTGGACCAATCTGAATGAAATTTTGCACACACTTCATCTCAGATACAGCGATTATTTTGCTACACATCCTTTTCATGCAAAATCAATGTAGCATTCTCTGTTTGAGCTTGTTTCACGTCTGACATCAAATGTACGTTGTGAGAGTACGGGGAGTACGGAGTGTCCCTTACATGCCGCAGGCCTGGTAAAAAATGCCTGTTCGGCGAGTACTATTAACATCCTAGAAGAGGGAAAAAGAGGGCTCACAGTAACATGTGATGTTACTGTGAGATAAGAGCAGTGGCAGCCAGCCAAAAATGCAGGTTTTGTAGTGCAAAATACAAAGCTGGACACACGTAATGTGAGGTAACACCTCATCAAACACATAATATATCTAAAAGCTGACAAGTGTACCAACAGTGATAGTCTGAAAGCCACATTCACAGAAAGACCTGCAGCTTTTGTTACCACGTCTGTCACAGGCATACAAAAAGTTGAAGAAGTTGTGTGTAAATGGGTGAATGAGCCACGTTGTATTATACGTTACAACAGAAAAGTGCTATATAAGAACCAGTCCATTTAACATAATCAGATAGGTGTATATGCTGGATGTTTATTCTTAGCATTTTTTCAAAGGCTGCACTAAAAGTTCTTATCAGCAGGCTATTAACAGTAAGCTAACAGATTATATGAGGTGCTCTGTCTGAATCGTAAGTATGGAACCATAATTGATAGTATTCCAACATCACTATCTAACCACCCCCCAACTGGCAGATGGCTGTCCCTCCATTAGACTGGTTCTGCCCGAGGTTTCTTGCTTTACTGGGATTTTCTCGGTATTATTAATGCAGGGTCTTTACCTTACAGTGTAAAGTGCCCTGAGGCGACTGCTGTTGTGATTTGGTGATATATAACTAACACTGATTGAATTGAACCCTTATACACTGTTCATTTTACCTGTCTTCACAGAATAGGTAAATACATATCTGTTTAGTCAGGACAGTGTCATGTATATGTATATATATATATATATATATATATACATACACAGTGGGGCAAAAAAGTATTTAGTCAGCCACCGATTGTGCAAGTTCCCCCACTTAAAATGATGACAGAGGTCAGTAATTTGCACCAGAGGTACACTTCAACTGTGAGAGACAGAATGTGAAAAAAAAAAATCCATGAATCCACATGGTAGGATTTGTAAAGAATTTATTCGTAAATCAGGGTGGAAAATCAGTATTTGGTCAATAACAAAAATACAACTCAATACTTTGTAACATAACCTTTGTTGGCAATAACAGAGGTCAAAGGTTTACTATAGGTCTTTACCAGGTTTGCACACACAGTAGCTGGTATTTTGGCCCATTCCTCCATGCAGATCTTCTCGAGAGCAGTGATGTTTTGGGGCTGTCGCCGAGCAACACGGACTTTCAACTCCCGCCACAGATTTTCTATGGGGTTGAGGTCTGGAGACTGGCTAGGCCACTCCAGGACTTTCAAATGCTTTTTACGGAGCCACTCCTTTGTTGCCCGGGCGGTGTGTTTTGGATCATTGTCATGTTGGAAGACCCAGCCTCGTTTCATCTTCAAAGTTCTCACTGATGGAAGGAGGTTTTGGCTCAAAATCTCACGATACATGGCCCCATTCATTCTGTCCTTAACACGGATCAGTCGTCCTGTCCCCTTGGCAGAAAAACAGCCCCATAGCATGATGTTTCCACCCCCATGCTTCACAGTAGGTATGGTGTTCTTGGGATGCAACTCAGTATTCTTCTTCCTCCAAACACGACGAGTTGAGTTTATACCAAAAAGTTCTACTTTGGTTTCATCTGACCACATGACATTCTCCCAATCCTCTGCTGTATCATCCATGTGCTCTCTGGCAAACTTCAGACGGGCCTGGACATGCACTGGCTTCAGCAGCGGAACACGTCTGGCACTGCGGGATTTGATTCCCTGCCGTTGTAGTGTGTTACTGATGGTGACCTTTGTTACTTTGGTCCCAGCTCTCTGCAGGTCATTCACCAGGTCCCCCCGTGTGGTTCTGGGATCTTTGCTCACCGTTCTCATGATCAGTTTGACCCCACGGGATGAGATCTTGCATGGAGCCCCAGATCGAGGGAGATTATCAGTGGTCTTGTATGTCTTCCATTTTCTGATGATTGCTCCCACAGTTGATTTTTTCACACCAAGCTGCTTGCCTATTGTAGATTCACTCTTCCCAGTCTGGTGCAGGTCTACAATACTTTTCCTGGTGTCCTTCGAAAGCTCTTTGGTCTTGGCCATGGCAGAGTTTGGAGTCTGACTGTTTGAGGCTGTGGACAGATGTCTTTTATACAGATGATGGGTTCAAACAGGTGCCATTCATACAGGTAACGAGTGGGGGACAGAAAAGCTTCTTACAGAAGACGTTACAGGTCTGTGAGAGCCAGAGATTTTACTTGTTTGAGGTGACCAAATACTTATTTTCCACCCTAATTTACGAATAAATTCTTTACAAATCCTACCATGTGAATTCATGGATTTTTTTTTCACATTCTGTCTCTCACAGTTGAAGTGTACCTCTGGTGCAAATTACTATATATATATATATATATATATATATATTAGGTTTAATGCTGTCAAACACTATCGTGTCGTACTTTACCTAAGACAAACAGCCATCATCATTTTATTTGAGTGAAAGTGAAGTTGACAGGAATATTCTGGAGCTGTTTGGGATTTATTATGCAACCGTTAAAGCAGTTAAACACTGTCATTACTGCCATATCATAAAATGATCCTCATAACTACATCTAGAATTATTTAGCATTAAATAACACTTAGAACCAGTGATGCCGGTAATGCGTTGCTTAGTAACGCGTTACTCCGAATATGACCACTTTTTCAGTAACGACTAATCTAACCCGTTACTATTTCCATAACAGTAGTCAGATTAAAGTTACTTGTCCAAACCACTGTGCGTTACTATTTTTTTAAGCAAAAAGATTTGGTTTCTTCTTTTCGTCTCAGCGGATGACAAACGCATACGTGTCGTGAAACGTCACATAAGCGACAGGTCACGTTTCCCGCTCACAAGCAGCCAGCGACGTAAAAAAGTGTAAACAACAATGGAGGGAGAGAGATGTTCGTTCTTTAGCTGGAAATATGGTCACTATTTTGAGTTTCTGTCAACTAAAGATTTAAATATTAAGGTTCGTTGTACACTCTGTGTTGGCGAAAAAGTGTTATCTACCTTCAAAAACACTACGTCAAACTTAAAGAAACATTTGGAGTCGCAGCACAGCACAGAAAGCTCCTAATACCAACATCCACAAGGTGGAATTCCTTTTTTGATGCTGTAAAGAGAATTGCAGAAATCCCCATGGGTGAGCTGAATACTCTGTGCACAAAGCTAGGACTGAAGTGCTTCAAAGATCAAGAATACCAGTTCCTGCATGAGTACTGCATGGCCATGAAACCTCTGACTGCAGCACTGGACATTTTACAAGGCGACTGTCCATATGGAACTTTACTACCAACACTTGAAGTTCTGATGCAGAAGACCCAGGCTGTGAAAGATGACCTCTCCAGGATGACTGCAGGCCTTCCAGATGCCATTGTACAGGTACGCTCTATCTTGAAATTAGTCAGATTTTTTGCTTCATACAATTCACAAACATGGAACAGAATATTAATTATCATTGAAAAATAAGATTAAAACAATTAAAATGTTTACAAGTAACCTAAAACAAAATTAATCCATAATACTGGTCTCATATTAGGCATGGTTTGCAAATAATTCAATAACATAATAAATTGTAGGCATAAAAATATCAATTATGTTTTTTAGGCTATTCAGACTCGTTTCGCCGGTGTGCTGGATGACAAAGATGCCCTTCTTGCAGCTGCCAGTTGTCCAAAATTCAAACTCCGATGGCTGAGAGATGCAGGAAGGAGGGAGCGAGTAAAACAGCTTCTGACAGCAGAGTGTTGCACCACTGCTCCTCTGGCAAAAGGTTTGGTGCTCACGCCTAAAAGAAATCGACTTTCTGACAAAAGGTTTGAGAAGCTTCTGTTAATGAGGTACAACCACTGGTTTACTCGCTCCACTCTACTGTTTCCCCCATAACATGCGATGACAACATATACTGAGAAAACAGAGAATGGGGAATCCAATTTAAATAACTATTTACAAGTAATTGAATTAAGTTTATCAAAGTCACTTAATAAACTTATTAAAGTTTTCAAGTTGATTAACTTAAAACAATTACCTGCAAGGAAGTAAGGCAATTTAAGTTGGACCTGCAGTCTCTCTCTTTTTTTTTTTTTTCATAAGATTAGTCCAAAGTTACAAAAGCGGACAATAGTGCTTACATGTGGATGGTATAAAAAGTATCTTAAGGGAAGTCAAGAAAGACTCTTTGTTTGTTTGTTTGTTTTTTTATAAAAAGTATTTATGTTAAGTGAAGTAACAAGACTGTCTTTATTTTCATACAAACAAGTATTTCTGTCAGGAAAAAAGTTTTAAGTTCAACTTCAAATGTCAGGAGATATATTGTTGACATTACTGTTAAAATACACTTCCAATAAAGTGAGTATTGGCAAAATCGGTTGATGTTTTTATGTTGAGGCAGTGGGGAGTGTTATTGGCAGCTTCTGAAAGTAACTAATAAAGTAACTAGTAATCTAACTTAGTTACTTTAAAAATAAAGTAATCAGTAAAGTAACTAAGTTACTTTTGGAAGGAGTAATCAGTAGTCCGTAATATATTACTTTTTCAAAGTAACTGTGGCAACACTGCTTAGAACACATTGCAAGACCAAAGGCAGTGAACTCGCGTTTATGTAGCACCTTTCTTACTGACCGCTCAAAGCACTAAAGTGTGATCTGTAGTTAACTCACTCACTTTATCTACCTCACATCCATCCCCAGTTAAGCTAACATGCATCTCTTTGGACTGTGAGTGGAAGCCGGAGGATCCATGCACACACAGGAGGAACATGCAAACTCCACATAGAAAAAGTTCAGCTGGGATTTTAACCAGGAACCTTCTTTCTGTGAGGTGACAGTGCTACACCCCTGCGCTGCCCTGCTAAAGCTGTTGTGTACATGTCAAGGCATCCTCTTTGAAAGTTTTCATTGACGTCTTGTGACCTTTTTGGAACTATGGGACATGACTCACTTGTTGATGTAGCTTTCTAGCTTTAGTTTACCACTTGGTTACTGCTAACAGCAAAGGTAAAGTTTCTAGGAGTAAAGTAGAAAATGAACAATATATCAGGTTGTCACAGGCCTGGGGACCCAGGACTCATGTGCTTGATAAACATTTTCTGGGGTTATCTTGTGCTGGCCGTCCCCGCATGGTGACCGGCGTTGTGCTTGTGTCCTGGTTTTCCTGGGACAGCAGACTTGGAGAATGTGTCCCGCCATGGGGGACTCGCCGCACCTGGAGCGCATCACACACCTGCAGCTGATGAAGCCTCATCTCGGGAGCTTCTTAGGAGAGTGGCTGAGCTCCCGTTGATGCTGAATTGTTGTATGAGAAACCGATGGCGGAAACGGAAGGAAGAGCGAGCACACGGAAACATGTTTTATAATATAAAACATGTTTAGTTGCACAGCACCTGGTGCCACACGCTTCAACAGTTTCTCTCCTAACACAGTTTTTACTTCATTAATTCAGTTTAATATCACGGGAAAGTTTTCTTGGTAACACCCAATTATATAATTGAAATATTCAGAGCCAAATCCACATAGCTACTTTCATGTTAAATCTCCTCATGTTGAGAAATGTTAAATGTTTCCCTTTATCTTTAAACTAAAATCACTAGCACTCTTGTTTCCTCATCTGGTGATCTCTTTGTCCCTTTCTCCTCTGTCTCTCTCATCGCGTTGCTGTGTCACTGGGCACACCTGCTTCATCCAGCTGTCAATTACAGCACAGAATTACAGACTGGCACACAATTAGGGTATGCCTCACGCACTGGCCCACGCTCGTAATGAGTTTCCCCAGTCATTGATCAAAGTCCCAATCGCACCCAAGCCCAGAGTTCACCTTCTTTTATGTGGCTATCAAAAGATCATCTGAGTAACTTGAGACTCCTGTTTTTTAACACCGGCTAAAGTGGCAAGGAATTTATACAAACAGCTGTCTTAGTTTATATGTGATCAAATTGGTCTCAATTGCTAAAAACCACAAGTCAAGCAATTTTAAATGCACATGACATGCAGCTGCAGAGAGCAACACTGCATTCGGCTTTGCACTCCCCACACTTTCTGCCTCTGTGTGTTTTTCCTCCTTCACTAAACTCCTCAAACTCTTTGGGCTGTTGCTGTAGATCAATTAATTGAGCTCTCATCTGAGAAGGGCTGCGTGTACATCTACTTCTCATTATGCAAGTGTCAAGGCTTGAGTAGTGGGCTTCTTGGCAAATAATAGAGGAATGACATTGCTTGTTTGTTTTCCCTTAGATATGAAATGCACTGAAGCAGGAGCGAAATAGGCGGTGGGAGGGGTGGAGAGGCGACGAGTAAAAAGAACAAGCACGAGCACGGTCGCACACAGTGTTCAAAGCCACTAGGCACAGGTTTCTGTGACTGACAAGTAGATGGGAACCTCCCAGTCACACTTTTCCAGTCTCTGTGAAATTGCTTCAGTGCTTCAGTGATACAGACTCATCCTGTAGTCTTCCTCCTCTTTGCTATTTCTCCCTCGAGCAGTTGGATTGTACGCTGCCTCTTCTCTCTTTGAGCAACGTTATTCTAATTAATCTGGGTAGGTTTTGTGAGAAGCTATAGGAAAAAAAAAAAATCAAATGTTTGAGTTTGAAATGAGAACTCAAAGCCAGCTAAGATAGCAATCTTCTGGTGAAGACAAGGTAATGAATTAATTTTGGTTCATGGCTCAGTAGTGAGGGGAACTAGGTTGAGTAATGAGAAGAGGAAGCTGTGATAATGGAAATCTAAATGATTAAAGTGTGTGTTTGCATCGTGTGGGGTGGGGGTTGGATGGTGGGAACTTGGAAGAGAGTTAGGATGGTGTGACAGTCTCCAAGATTGTAACCCCGCCCCCCAATAAAGTTCAGCATTATAGTTTGTATACTGATACAGAGTAACGCCGGTGCAATATAGGTGTTACTCTGTTTCAAATATGAGGAACAGAATATGCTGTGAATGTGCTTTTTCAACTAATCCCTGCTGTACAGTTGAGAAGTACATAGCATATACTTAACCTGTTGTGTTATGTAAGTTGTATGAATGTATTCACGTCACTTCCTTGTCGTCTTACTAAAAACGATTACATAGAATCGTGTTTTATGCTGTTATACTCAAAGGTGCTTCCATACGGTTACATTCATTGGCCACTCTATTCTGTACCCCTTGCTAGTACTGGGTTGGATTCCCTTTTCATTCAGAACTGTGTTAATTCTGCATGGTATGGATTCAGACCTGTTGGTCCATACTGACATGATAGCGTCACATATTTGCAGCAGATTTCTTGGCATAGCCTTAATATGCTCTGTTGGATTGACACTTTGTGACTGTGGAGGTCAATTAAGTACAGTAAACTCATTTTCATGTTCGAGGAACCAGATTAAGATGATCTCACTTTTGTGACATGGTGAGTTACCCTAGTGAAAGCATGAAAGCAGAGGATTGTCATACCCTGAAAGCAGGCAACATCATAGCCATAAAGCGGTGGACATGGTCAGCAACAACACTTGGGTATACTGTGGCATTTAAGCTATGCTTAGTGGATACCAAAGGGTCCAAAGTGTGCCAAAAAAATATACGTCCTGTAACTATTGGAACGATTCTCCTGTAATTAAATAGAAATTCAATATTTCATTTGGGGATTTTATTGGAAATTGCTATGTAACTATATTTACCTACAAATACCAGCCAGCGTGACAGAGGGCTATTCACACTCACATTCATGCCTATGGGAGATTTTGATTAACCATTTAACTTAACCGAGTGCTTTTACCGGTGAGAGTTGCACAACACAGTCTGCAACATGTCCTATTTTCCTTGACGTTAAATGCAAAATGTGCCTTCTGCTCGTCTCTTCCTCCCAAGTGTTGACATTTTGCTGCGTTTTCATGAGTAACTAGGAACCTGGGAAACCAAATGTCTAACCTTACTGCACAAGGAGGATCTGATTGGATCACTTCCCAACTTGCCCCGCCTTTCTATGCAGCTTAATTTGTTCTGATTGGATCTCCTGTTTCTGGAACATTTTCATTTTATTTTTATTCGCTGATGAAAGCGTAAATACTTTTCATCATAGTTTTTGTCTTCATCCATTCGTTTTTATTTAGTTATCAATCTATTAGTCATCAATATTAGTCATGTTTTTGCCAGAAAAAAATAGTTGTTGATTAAAACTATGACACAAGTTATTAGTCAACAAAATTAACAGAACAACATCATCTGCAAAAAAAACAGCAACATGATCTTGAGACTACTTTACCTTCAGCCTTCCACACTTTGGCTGCGGCTAACAATTATGTCCATAAATATGAACAAAATCTTTGACACAGTCTTACTGCTGGCAATGGGAACCAAACTCTTACTATGGTTGCACAGAGACCAGAACAGAAAGGACTAAAAGTAGCTAAATCTAGTCACACACAATGGGCAGTTATAACAGCCAATTTGCCTCCTGTTGTGCTCAGGGGATGCTGGCTGTGACAGGAGAAGCAAACACTTGCTGCCTTCCTGTCTGTGATTCAGGAGCAAAAGTAACACCTTTGCTCTTCTAGCCGAGCAGTGGACAGTCAGCAGGTGAAGTTTCCTCACTCCCGGGAGGGTCACTGCTGCTCAGACGGGGCTTTTTCATGTGCGATATGACCAGGGCATGCCTCAGCTCTCTCAGATACAGATGATCCAGCTACAGATCCAATGCTCTGATGACTTTTATCCTGGAAAGTTCCCCATCCAGACGATGAAGACAGTGATGACAGTCTTTCTTCTTTAAAATGACCGCATCTGTGGATGCTATAGCTGTGTCCAAATTCAGAGGCTGCATCCTCCTGAGGCTGCATTTGTGGGCTGATTATGCCAGAGCGACGCGACGAAGGCGATCCAAATTCCAAGACTTTTCCAAATGCGGCCAACAAATGCGTCCTCTTTTTCCCCAGATTTGAAGGATGGGACAGGTCTATCCTTCGTGGCCAATTTGTCAAAATATCCCATATTTCCAAAAGTGTTCTGACATATTTGGAGACGTCTGTTACTCACCAGCTCCATGGGTAGCCGGGGCGAGAACAGCAAACTCCCAGCACATCGTTTTCATAAACCAAAGTGTAATGTCACAGTGGCACATCCATCTTTTATATACAGTTTATGATTATGAGCAGGCAGGTGTGCTACAGAATTCCTACACTTCAGCCTCTGCTGAAAATATTGGCTAGAGAGAAAATAAAGATAATGACTTAAAATAAGGTGGTTTACCCTATCTAACTTCTATAATATCATGTATATCTGTTATCTATGATAGGTGTCTGCGAAGTGGCAGGTAATTCAGTGCACATGCTCATTAAAAAGTTGATTTCTGATACAGTTTATTTCCTTTTAAAGTGCAATTTATCACCCAGGTTCCTAAGTAATAGGTCCTGGGGACACAGTGAATTATGGTTTATGCAATTAAATTGTTTCAGTCGCACTGATCAAATGGAGATGACCTCATCCTCTAGCCGCTTGCTTCCGTGCTTCTGCACCTGTGATGCACCGAGGCGTGCGCGTACACATACGTTGCATACACACATTCTCAGCTCCTCTGCGGAGGTATAAACCAGGAGTAGATATTTCCCTAATGGAAAGACTCATTGCGAAAAAATAACTGTAAAACCAGCCAGCGCTCTGTCAAACTATTTTACAGTGTCAGCACAAATTCTTCAGTCTCTTTTCACTCTGCAGAGAAATTTATGGCCATTGATGACTGATTGCATTTCTCCCCCTCACAGTACTCTGAGCCTTTTGAAAGTAACCCAGCAGCACATTAATTTCTCCAAAGTCATCAATTCAAGTGCAGTGACTTGCTGGAAAAATAAAAACTCAGATGAAGAGCGTCTAATTTTAGTAGTTTTCATCAGCGCTAGCAATATATATTTAAAAAAAAAATCCCCAAACCATAACTCAGGCATTTAAAAGTGACTGTATTTTGTATAGATGGACAGCACAGGGTTTAGCTTCTCTGTAGATGCCACATAGCTGCATGTGACGTCAATATCTGGCTGCTTCTCTCATTATTAAATCAACCGGTGTCATCTCAAATTAAAGGTCCAGTTATGTCATTAAGCTCGGAGGACCAAGAACAATCTGAGCGCCTCGGAGCATCCTCGAGAACATCATTATGCAGCGTGCATTTAGTAGAACCGCTGAGGTAGACGCAGGGGCTCAAAAGTGTTCTCTAATTAAAGGTCTAATGTCTCATCTTGTGCACATCTCTTCCATTTCTCTCCTTGCCGTTCCCGGTGAAGGCAAGGAACGCTCAAGCAGAGACAGACAAAAAGCTCGATGAAAAGACACTGATTAACATGTCATGTTCCAGACAGGTATCCATTAGGCTCTTTAATCAAAGTCTATATGGCATGAAATTGACATTTTCAGCCCACCATAATGTCTCATGAGAAGCATCGAACTGAACTGATACTGCCCTATACATCAGTGCGCTGGTAGCTGTTCCACAACCTGTACTTTCATTTGCCATCTTCACGCCTCAAGGCTTCTAAAAGACCCATTGTTTTCCCGCTCTGCATCCAACTTAAGCGCTTCTCCTTTTTTTTTTTCTTCTTCTTCTTTTTTTTTGAGCTTTTTGGAGGGAGACGCATTTCACTGGGTCAGCAGCAAGGTATCATGCTACGTCAGTCAAACCGGTGGGATAATGATGCCACGGGTACCTTTATATTCTAATTGCAGCCTTTCGATTTCAACTCGTTTGAGTTGTTTTCTCTCACCGAGAAGAAATGTTTCAAATGCGAAAAAATACGACCCCAGTGTTTCCCGCACACCTAGCTTCTATCTTTAGCACAGGCTGCAGACTTTCATGTCTATCTAACCTGTTGCTTCTGCCCTAGCTGGCAGCATGTTGGATCCTCCTCCGAATTCTTCAGCTAAGCTATTTCTTCCTGACCCTTGTTCCCCCCTCTCAGCTGCCACAGCAGCACTGGTTGAAGCTTGGAAATATTCAAAGCAAACAGAGAGATGATTTCGTGGTTGGCTAATCCCTCTGGTCCGGTCTGTCTCTGCAGGGGCTCCAGTTTTACATATTTACTGTACCACAAGGAAAAACTGTCTTTGCACCCTTTGGGAAGAGCCCTTTTTGAGTGTGCTGTGTATAACATACTAACCTCAACACACAGCTATTATCACTAGCGAGTTTCTATTAATATATTCGCTTTAAGTGTTGCTTCTCTTTATGACCATTTATAAGTGTTTCTTTTCTTCAGCAAAGGAGGCACAATGCAAACTTACCTTGGGATTTTAATCATTTTAAATAGCAAAAATACAAACAAACCCAGCGGCTGTCAACGTACTTGAACAGTCAGGCCAAGTAAAGAAGCATACAGCTTGTGTAGGAAAACACCGGAGCCCCTAGGAGCAATAATTCGCTCTTCTTGATCAAACAGTTTTGCTGTTATCCAGTATTGTTGTGACTAAAGGACTTCCTTGCTGAAGGCCTTTCAGAAGCCAGCAGGTTGCTTTCAGCACAGCCCATGATTCCTTCTGTGCCTTTCACTAACACTTCTTTTTCTCCTCCCGCACTTCTCCTTTCTGCTATGTCTGTGTCCTTAAGTCACAGGGAGAGGGAGCACAGTTGTTTTGATGTAGGACTTGATAGATTTGTTTGCTGCTGCATTCATTTGCTCTGTATCAGGGAGCTGACGGGCCGTAAAATGAAAATTTGCCTTAGATTTTCAGCATGACTGTTTGGGGGCAAATGTGAAAGAACTCCCCATGCATTGCAGATAGACATTTTTTTTCTATGTCTTTAAGTGCGTGCATGTTATGCTGGGCGATTAATAAGGATTCAAACCTTCCTGTTGACTGGAAACGATGCAGATTATGTCTGTTTAAGTTTTTTTCTTCCTTTCTTTGTCTTGGTTTGACAAATCCCCCCACACTGAATTCATGTTGTCCACGATGTTGTGCTGCTGTGATGAGAGAGGTTAAAAAAAACTAACAAAAAAAAAACTGGTTCACTTATTTTCTTCCTGTTGTAAAGGAACCTCGTGATTAAAAAGTGACAGTTATGGATAGAGTCCTGCTTTTCAGGTAATTAGATTAAATTAAAATGCATGTTGTCATCTTGCGATGCCCACAGCCCCTAATTAAAATGAATGTGATGCAAACAACAGGAAGCGTTTTCTTGTTAAAAAACAAGTTGAAGGAGAGAAAGTCAAACAACAGACTGGCCTTTACCGAGGCTAAATTAGAAACCCAACCTGCTCTCGCAGAAATACGGGAAGTGACCACAGCCTCTGGAAGAACACATTATGTGGCTGCGCTGTGGAAACAATGCCAATGGAAAGCCAATTAGGAACTTTATTGTGGTAGACACACAGATTCCCTGATGGTAATGTTGAATGAAACAGGCACAGTCCTGTTTGTGAATAGCGTGGCGGTTGCTTGAAACAAACTCATCTTTCATCCAGGAGACTGGGGTTCAACTCCCCTCTGGGACTGTTCCACGTAATCACTTTTGTTTTCTGTGACAGGCGGCAAAAACATGTGATCCAATTTAAGGAAAGATCCTAGTTGTGCACTAGTTATACACTGAATAAATTCATAGAACCTTTTTAGGAAAATTGCTGATGTTGTTACCAGTGGAGAACAACCTTTTTTTTATACACTGTGGGCATTTCACAGTGTTGAAAGTAACACGTTACTGTAATCACATTACATTTTTCTGTAACGCAGTAATGTAACGTGTTACTGTACTAAATTGAGTAATTACATTACAGTTATATACAATTAAGTTGTATATAAAGGTTCTTCTTTAATGCAAACTGTGTCCAGGACACACACAACTGCATTATGTTGGTAACACAACTTTGGCTCTTTGCATGCATCTGCAAAAAACAGCACGCCAATGCAAAGCTAGTGGAAAACCCAGAGTGTCATTAAAGCTGAGTGGATGCCAGTCCAGCAGCCAGAGTTTGAACTTTAGCAGGTAGCAAAGGCAGTGATGAGCAGTCAGGTTTGACGCCTCAATTTCTACGTTTTCATGTTAGTACAGTAGAATCACTGCAGCGATCGCTTTAAAGTCTCTGCCGATTTTGTGTTCATATTGTAAAAGCTAAAAGAGACAACAACTTTTTTATCCAAACTTGTGTAATGTATACACGCACCAAATGTGCTGGGATTCTGTTGAAAATTTATCCTAAAAAAATACACTGTGAACAAAAAAAATGAAGTCGACATAAGTGATGAAGAGCTGGTCCTGATGTTTCTGAAGAAGAGAAGGAAGAAACGGAGATTCTGGGTTCATCAATTTCCAATGAGAAGGCAGTAAAAAAGGGAGAATTTCATGGAGAAGGTTAAGGTTTATGGAGTAAAGGGAATTTTTTTTTTCTTCTGGTGAGTAATTAAGTAACTTAACTGCATTGCTTTAAAAAAAAAAAAGTAATGAGAAATGTGTAATATGTTACTGTTTGGAGTACCGACCCCAACACTAACCAAACCAGAGTTATATTCTGTGTCATGTATGTAGTGACGATGATGTTGGTGCAGACTGTAAAATTGTATAATATCATAGCCAGCAGGTAAACAAACATTTAATTTTTTTGGTAACTTTACGGTGTCAAAAAGACAAAACACTGTGTGCTGTTTATCGTGGGCAGTGGTAATGGCCTTGATCATGAGCAGTCACCAAGGTGCTTCCTCTTTGTTCATGTGCAGGCGATGCGTGAGTCGAAAACCAAAGCAGGCCTTGTTGTGGCACAGGCAAGGTGCTCGTGGACAGCACGACACCCCCATTGCTCTTTCCACCTAGTTGCCCAGCTGGTGTCACGGAGCGCGTTGGATGATGGAGCACTCTCATTCCGAGCTGAGAGAGTGCTGAAGGTGAGAGTCGGCCGGAGACCCAGTTCTTTAATCCTGGCTGGCTTCTGCCACCTTGTTTAGCAAGATAAATGGACTTTTGACACTCAGTCAAATCACACGCTGGCCCAGCTTTAATAAACAGATGTTTTGTTTTGTTTTTTTGCATTTTCTCATCTCACTCAACTGCCATGTGGTAATCAGTCATCATCATCAAGTTATAATAAAACTTGACTTAAACAGTAATGTCCTTGCAAACCAACTATTAGTCCAAAACACATATAAATGCGATGGCACGGCTATGTATGATTGTGTAGCAACAGAAGCACCAAAAAATAAAAATAAATGTTTTCAAAGCAGTTATATAGTTCATTGACTTTAAAAGTCAAAAAATAGAATTCAAAGGATTGTCAAAAAACAAATCTGTTCTTCAAGATGAGACGTGCACGCATGCTTTTCTGACAGTCGCAACTGTTGGTGTGCTTTGTGGAAGTCCAGGTGTTCTTCAGACAGGCAAACCATGGGGGGCAATTACAGAGGACGTCCAACACCTGTGTCCACAAGTGAGATGGGAGCTCAAGAACATCCCAAATGACATTTTGTCAAGAGCGCTTAAATTCACGAGTGCTGCACCAGGGTCTATTTCATACAGTCTGTCAGAAGTTTTTAGCCGAGAAAAGCCAGTGACGATGCTCTCATCATTTACAGTTACATATTACTCGTGTTTAGAACCAGATAAACACCAACAATTAGCAGACTTAGGGCAGTAAAGACTGCTGCAGAAAGAGTTGTACTAAGAATTAACAATGAAGTGTTTTACAGCAAGCACTAGTAAATGCATTAAAGTTCCTTTTTTCTTGAATGCCTCGCCAGATTACAAGATCCAGCTTGTAAAGTGCATCTCTCACACCGGCACTTCCTTGTACTCTCCGTAAGCACTGATGGCAGATCAGTTCAACACAAGAGTGAACACCATGTGAATCTTTTCAGCTGTCTTTAAAATAAAAGCTGTTTAGTGCAAAAATAATTAAGAGTATACGTGGGGTAGGTTGCCTCTTGAATTCAAATTATGGGGAGATAGATTCTGTTTCAGATGATGTTATTGTGTTCATTCTTGCAGTGGATTATCCAAACCTACCTTCTGCATTCTTTTCCATTATACAACCTGATTTTTAAAAGAGAGACACTGCATATTATCCACAGAAATCAGCGATTTGTAAGTCATATAAACCCTGTTTTATAGAAAATGGTGATAATAAAATCTTGAAAGGTTAAATGCAGCTTAGAAAACAGTAACAAGCAGTCTCAGGTTATTGTCTCCCAGAAAAACAAAAGAAATGTTTTGGGGAGACAATAATGTGACGGAACAGCTGCGGAAGTGACAAGCTAACAGTAAATGGCTAATAGCGTACATGTATCAACATTACTGAATCATATTACACACATTACATGCATCTTTTTTCCCCTCACAATGCTGATGAATGTTCTGCTTCTTTTAAGCTTATCTCAGGTCAGTCCTTGGCATGTTTTGCTTTGTTCTGTGGCTTCTGCAGCTGTTCCGTCACATTAATATTTCCCCAGAAACACTTCCATTGTGCTTTATTCAACTTTGCTGTGCTTTATGTGCTTTTGCAGTGTTTTTTTCTATCTGCTGGTGTGTTTTTTTTGGAACTTGCAGTTTGTTTGACCTCTCAGAGCCACCATAAAAAAGTTTACTTTTACTCTTTCCTCTTTGTTCAGGATCGCCACAGCAAAACATTCACCTCTGTAGCATCGCCTTCTCACACCAACCCTCTGCATGTCTTTCACAGCCACATATTGTTCCATCGCCTCCTTTTTTACAAGACTCGATATGGGTTTGGGAGCAGAGGACAACAATTGCTACTTTTGTAAGCGAAATATTTTTCCCATTCTCACTTTATGTAGAAATTCAGAACAGTTTGAGGTCTGTTTTGTAACAGTGTTTCCATTCATAACTCAAGAGTGTTTTACAATAGAACCCGCTGATGCTAAGCTTATCATCACAAATGCTGGCTTTTGATCTGCGTGTTCTTCTTTAGCCTTGAGGACACAATCTCCGACCCAAAAAGAACTAGAGTTGTGATTCAATAGACATTTTGACTGAATGTGTCTGAGCTCAAAGATGGCAGCTTCACTTGATGTTTATATATCTTTTTTATTATTCTTTATTGTTTTCTATAGTTTTAGCTCGTATTCACGGAAGCACTAGCAAACTGTTCGCTGATGATGGTTTTCAGAAGTGCTCCTCAGCCCATGCAGCGATTTCCACTCGAGCATCCTATCTGTTTTTAATGCAGTGCTGTCTGCGAACTGAACATCACATGTTTTCAGTATTGGTTTTTTTCCATCTCCTCATCTCTTGCAGATATAGAGATTTCTCCAGATTGTCGGAAGCTTTTAATGACATTATGTTCCACTGATGATAGCATCTGAAAGTGGCTTGCAGTTTTCACGAAGAAAGGTTGTCGTCTTAAAAAAGGAGATTGTTTGCCCACAGTCTTCCTCGGGGGTCGAGCCTCTCCTACATGTTTACTAAAGAAAGGACTTTTCTGAGGTTCTCTTTAAAACTGTCCACTGGAGTACAAGGTACTTCATGCTTATATGTTGAATTCAGTATTGATTAAGTATTTATTCCTTCTTTGTTAAGGCAGTTTCTAAAAAATGTAAAGAGCAAACAGCTGTCTCTGTAATGAATATCTTTTGAGACAAGACTACACTTGTTTTTGTTTAGATTCTCTCAAGTCGATCTATAGACAGACCTTGAAAAGGTAAAGTTGCGGGCAATTGACTGGTAAAGTGAGCTCGATGCACCGTAGTGAACACACCGGCTGTGGGATTTTGGCCTTAATGTTTCAGGACTTTAAAACAAAAGTGAAACAAATATTACCTTGCAGCATTAAAGTTCCTTTGTTCTTCCCCTTATGCAATTCTGGGTCACTGGAGGTGGGACCATCCTTGCAGAGGCAGGCTACACTGTGGTCCGGTCACCACTCTAATGTGGGACTAGGACAGACAACCATTCAATTTAGAATTACAATTGCATACCAAATGCATGACTGTTGCAGTACCTGGAGAAAGTCCATGCAGAAAGGCCTCAGTCAGCCAGTGAACCCAGGACCTTTATGCTGCGAGGGGATGGTGTGGCACACCACGATGCCGATGCCAGTCTAATGGAAGACATCTATTCACCCATCTATCAGACTGTCATCAGGATAGCCGAGATATGGCAGCGTCTCAGACCGGCCAACTACTGAGAACTCCAAAGAGAATTGCCCTCACTTACTATAAAATGTAATGCTCACTGGTACTGTACCACCAGTTTTGCTCATACACTACCAGCAGAGATCTTTCTTTCCACCCTTTGTTTATCTCTCCATCTTTTTTTCGGAGACATCTTCCCTCCTGGCTCATAGCATAAATGGATTTTCATGCATCATCTGAGCGTGTGTATTGGAGTTGATGGAGTGAGGAGGATGACGCAGATTCCAGCCACACAGCTCCTGTCCTGCACCTTTCTGCCAATTCCCTCTTCCTCCGTTAGCTCCCACCCCTTTTCCTGAGTCTTGTTTCTTGTTTCTTCCTGTTTGGTCAATTGCACTGCTCTATAGACTAAACTCTGTTTTTGCAAAGCACAGCTTTGCATAGGGTTTAGCCTGTCGTTGACTGTATGTATCTGACAGTACACCACATTTAGATAGAAAACAACATGTCCTCTACTCTTTGTCTTAGTTTGTTAGATTATAATTAGTTTGTAGTTTAAAGTTTAGTGATATTTTAAAAGACTTTCTTCTAGTCTGGGTTACTCCAGCTTTAGACCCCACCCACTCCCTCTGTGCCATCAGAAAGAATGAGAACTGATATTGTTCCCCTTACCGCAAGTCAGCTTCCCATTTGATTGCTTATCTCTTTTATTAGCTTGATGCTATTACTGGCATGGCTTCTTGGCTTTCATTATCCATTTTTATGCTGCAATATTCTCTTGGAATTGTTATCGGAGGCGAGTTCATCTTGTCACGTTGTTTATGCGTGATTGATTTGTGGGTTGCTGATCTCACCCTCCACCCCTTGCTCAGTGCCGGCTCGTCGAGCCGACAAGGTTACTTATTCACAGATGATAGACATCTTTATTAGGAGAAGAGAATGCTTTAAAACCTTAAGCACAGGCATTTATCTGAAGCGCGGCATCTTATGGCCCAACACCCGACATGCCCAAACTCATTCATCACGAGCAGGCCGACGGCCCAAGTTCAGCCTGTTTGCCCTCTCCATCAGCCTGAAGGACAGAGCAAGCCAAAGATGGCAGCAAGAGGCACAGAAGAGCAGTGAGCGTTTGTCATGACAGAACTTGGCCTGGGGTAAGTCACTTCCCAGTTTGTGTTGACCACCGCTATTTTTCTGCTCATCAGTATGACCCTGTAGGTTCAGCTTAAGGTTGAAATTTGCTGAGCTGTCAGAGGAGAGTAGTTTTCTTGGCCAAGACGTCTTGGAATCCAAGAAGAAAAACATAAATTAAGTAGGTTTTTTTTCTCTCTCGCTCTCTTTTTTATGTTTTAATGTATCAAGCAAAAGTAGATGACTTTGAAAATACTCATTATGGATTCTACTGGAAAAAGAGAGCCACATTTACCCAGCGGCCCAAGCTTGAGTCTTTATGCATTTATGCCTGTGTAATGAAGTTTTTGCCCAGTAGTGATGGCAAATGTCATTAATGCTTGCAAAAATGATGACTTGGAGTGCTCACATTAGGCCAAAAGTGCAGATGCTACTTGTTTTCTTTAAGACCTATCATTCTCGCCTCCTGCTGTGTATAATGGCACTTGGCATCAGTCGTCGATGACGAGGCGATTTCATTTATCTCTCGCCATTTAGTCCTTTCAAATGTGTGGCACGGCTCTGCGAGGGCTATGGTTATCACGATGAACCTTCACCAGTCAGAATGAAGGGTATGTGTGTACACACACACACACACACACACACACACACACACACACACACACACACATTTTTGCATGCTTGGTTTTTGTAGTTTCTGAGATTGCTTGCTCAGCAAAGGCATTGCCTTTCAGGCTCCGTCTCATCCTGTAGCTCAGTAATCCTGTTGGTATTACTGAAGCCCTGTGAAGCTCAAACAATCCCTAACGAGCTAATAAGTTAAATAAATATTTTTAGCCAGGACAGGTGGCTTCCACTTAGAAATAGCATGTTAAGCATGCAGTATTTAGATTCTCCACGGGGATGTTTCATTTTCATTACTTAGTCTAGTTGATGGCTTTTAACCTTATTGACAAAAAAGGAGTCAGTGTAATTTAAGACTTTAAATGAGGGCCTTACTAGAGATTCAAAATTTCAGCGTTTAACGTGGCACTTCTTTTGTCTTTATTGGCCAGCTAAGTGGTCTTTTCCCAGAGCTTTAATTATTCATCGGTATTAAAGTTTAAATCCACTGGCTCTTGGGGATGGAGTCATATGGCTTTGAAATACAGGTCATTAACATTAAACGATATTAGCTTAACTGTTCCAAGGTTCTTTGTACCTTTTGTCTTGTGGCTCTTGAAATGTGCAGTGCTCACATGACAGTGGGTTGAATTATAACATCGCACACTGAGTTTTGGTTAGTATTAAAAAAAACAGCCCCATCTTAAAAAAACTAACACATTCACCATCGTGTAATATAAACGCAGATGTTAAAATCACATTTTACTTTCCTCCTTTTTTAATGGAATGTGCTTGTATTTAATTATAGGGGGTGAATAATAGTTTTATAACTTCCTTAAGAGCAGGCTGCTCGTTTTCTTCCTTCCCCTAGCTCAGCATTGGTAGCATAACGAGAAGAGGTCGGTGTCGAGCAACTCGATGTGTCAGGCGTCAGTGTGACGCCCGATTCCGTAATTTTTGCCGATTGATTATTTATGCTTGGCTGCCAGTTTACATTAGAGCCCCTGCTGCCCCCAAGAAGATTGCTTCCATGTGCTCAATTGATCCATGTTTGAAGTTTAATTACCATTTGATAACCATTAGCCTTGTTGACATCATAACAGAATGGGTGCTAAAGTGGCTGCCTTGACAGTAATAATTGGTCAGTGTCGATTAGATGCCGTCCAAACACTTGGCTTAACTGTATTTGTGGGAAGATCATAAAGTGCTCAGTGCACTGCCCAGGACACCACAACTTAAAAACAACTCTACAACCCTTATTCACTCAATCCAAGGTTGTGTGTTGGTAACAGGTGTTAACCCTTCCACAGGGTTAGGCACAAAATGGAACATAATAATAATGGATTGGATTTATATAGCGCTTTTCAAGGCACCCAAAGCGCTCTACAATGACACTATTCATTCACTCTCGCATTCACACACTGGTGGAGGCAGCTACAGTTGCAGCCACAGCTGCCCTGGGGCAGACTGACAGAAGTGAGGCTGCCATATCGCGCCATCGGCCCCTCTGGCCAACACCAGTAGGCAGTAAAGTGTCTTGCCCAATGACACAACGACCAGGACAGAGAGCCCGGGGATCGAACCGGCGACCTTCTGGTTACAGATGCGGTTCCCAACCCCCTGAGCCACGGTCGCCGTAAAGTCATGGCAAAATACACCTTTCAATTCTGAGTTTTTATGTGACATGACATATACAAAATCCTTTAAATACAACCTTGGATAAACAACAGCCCATGACCTACTACTTGTTTCTTTAAGAAAACTACACCATCATATCGAAGCAGTGTAAGAAGAACTCAGTACACACCATTCAGTAGCTTGTAGAAGCATGTTTGGAAATAATAACCAGAATAATGTAGCTTCAGTTTGTTGAAGTTTGCGGGAGTTTGTTTAATTACAGCTCTCTTAGGTTCCACCACAGTATTCCAATCCGCTGGATTTTGACTGGGATATTACAGAACCTTGAACCTTCATAGAAGAGCTTTCTTCTCTTTTTCAGCCATTCTGTCATAGATTTGCTGGCTGATGTAGTTTCAGCCAAGTTTTAGTGTTAGAGATGGCCTCATGTCTGACTCTGAACCCCTCTGTATGCTTTGATATACAGAGGAGGTCATGGTGGACTCAATGACTGCAAGGTTTCAAGGTCCTTTGACAGCAAAAATAGTCTAAATCCTCACCCCTCTACAGCCATACTTGACGGTTGGTATGAGGTGATTGTGCTTATATGATGTATATAGTTTTCTCCAGACATGGTGCTGTGCATTATGGCCAAGCATCCCCACTTTGATCTTGTCAGTCCGAAGAACATTGTTCCAGAAGTCTTCTGATGCAACTCTGCAAACCTAAGCCATGCTGCCCTGTTGTTTTTAGAGAGAAGAGGACCCTTGATTATTGCCTACTTGATAAATCATAAGTCTTGGACAAGAATTTGATATTAGGGAAGAGAAAAAAGCTTCTGGGAGTAAAAGGTGGTGGATTTTTGCTCCGAGTCATGAGTGACGATAGTGGTGATGCAGCCCAAAACAAACTCCTGTCTGTTTTCGATGCAGTGTGTGAGTGGATTCACAATGAAGCCTCTGTGTATGTATAGTAAGAAAGATCTGTATTTGCTTGTCTGTCTGGATTCCTGGTCAGGCTGCTAGTTTATTCTTTTTGTCCCTTTTGCTTTCCCATGCTGTCAAACTTAATTCTGCTGTCAGTTTCAGGTGCTGTAAATGTCAGTGCTTTTCTGTCATTCTGCACTTTCACACCATCATCCATCCACTTCCTTACCATCCCCATCTCGTCCTGGTTACCCGGGCCCTCATCCAGGTCCCTTAACTGTTCAGCATCTCCACCAGCACCTTGCTGTCTACCATTGTTAGGGCTATGCTTCAATCATTTGCAGCGATTGTTCTCCCTCTTGTTTTTCAGTAGAACTTGAAGTTAAATGCATGCTGGTGGATGACTTCAAGGCATTTAACCCAGTTAATGTCAAGGAAAAGCCCAAGCACATTCGAGGTCACGCTCCTGACCTGATGTGTCATCTTTTACTGAGGATTGCTCTTTGGTCTCTGGGTCAATGCCTGAGACACAACTCTCATTACCAGTTTTATTATCCTTGACTTGAAGGTTAGGCCAGTTTGACACAGAAGTTCATGTTTGCTCTCTCTGCAAGTCTGAGGTCCATTAAATTACAAATGCGCGTGTGATCAGAAAATGACTTCCGGAAAGCGATTCAAATATATCAGGAATGCATGAGGAAGATTTGATTTTCATTATTATCACCATGGATACTGCCTTGTGTAATATTTTTAAACAGTGATGAAATGTCCAAACC